TATGGAAAGTGTAATTCGTTAAATGTGTGTAGATAAAAAAATGAGCCATCATTATCTTTCGAAAAATTAAAACTTGTTTGAGATTTTCACTATTCTTCATCTAAATATACATCTTTTCATTTCATTAAATGTTATTTCTTTCAATCATTGTATTAATAATTTTATGTCCATTGAAAAATAAATGGATCCTAATCCCTTAAAGGTCGGCAACGCACTCGTAACTCCTCCGTTGCGGGTGTCCGTGGGCGGCGCTGATTGCTTACCATCAGGTAATCCGTCTACTAGTTTGCCGACCTATCTCATAAAAAATGGGAAAAAATATTTATGGAATAAATTATAGTTTGAATATCGAACGAAATTAACTATGTTTGTATTAACTATTTTTGTGTGTAAATTAACAAGTTTTGTATTAATGGAACAAGAATAATCATAGAAGAAACAATGAAAATAGCAAGGTTAGCACTTTAGCTTTATTTTGCAAGTACACGTACAGACGAACATCCAGGCTAAAATATTAGTAAGTGCGAACTGAGCTATGTCTTAACGTTGTGAAGGAATGTGACCTTTCACAAGCTATTACTTGCAAACGTTATTGTTATATGCCTCATCGCTTTGTCTCAATCCAAGGCTATGCCTTTTTTAGCTAATACTCGATAGAAATTTTATGATTCAGCCTTTTCGCTATTTCCGATGCGAATTTTATTGATCGACCTTTTTGCATTTTATAGTTTTGTTTCAATTGCAACGGATACCTATGTTGTGGTCAATTGACGACCAGAATAAGGGCCTGGGTTCGTGTAGGCTTTTTGGATTTGGAATAGGTATTTGGCAGTTGTGTCTACGCATTATTCATTGATATAAATCATTTTATAGTTATAAGGCATACATAATCCGTTCCGTCAATATTAACATTTTTGTAATTATTGCTATCGCTGTTCATGATATACGTGCAACACAAGTGTTTTGCAGGTACTTGTTTCGGAACAAAAATAATATGAAACAATAGCCATATTTTCCAAATATTCAAATATTGTTTTTCAAACTGTTTGTCTACTTACGACACATCAGACTTTACCGAAAATTTGACAATTATTTTATTTTTATTGTGTTTGTCAGAAAAAGTTTTAGAAAAGAAAAACGAAGAGGAAAATTGTAGAATGACGACCTTTTCGTGCAGAAAAGTAGGATAGGGCCACTAGTCTAGTATATAAAAACGAATCCTAATTTTCCTTGACCATGGTGTCACGTGGGAATGGCTGAAACAATTCTGATATTTTTCTTTAACCTCTCGCCGCAATAGAAATACACATTGTGTCTCGCTAATATACATTCCCGCTTACCGCGGTTTAAATGTTTGTCAAGACGTCCTTTTATCTTCTTACACGAAGAAGGTTTGGAGCATTATTCACCAAACTTGCTAAAATCGAATAAGCGATTTAAATCCCAGTTTCCTTACTATGTTTTTCTACACCGTATGGGTGAATGAGTAGTGTCTAAATAAAGTAAGGAAGTAAATATATCTTGGAAAAAGTCACATTGGCATTTTCTAGATTTAAAACCCTGATGCATTAGGAACGAACATCGTAACTTCTGGGACACCACGACTCGGAAACTCACTATTCAAATTTCATTGTCGTGTGGGAAAGCTATTTATTTTTATTGTTCATTATATTTACGGAAGCCCTACTATTAGGTATTCCATGTTTATATCAGCTATTTAATTAAGCGTTCAGTGACATGCGTTGCGGAGTTGCTCTTTAAACTAACCCCCGGTTTCTGAAAGGCCGATCAATGTTAAAATCAATTTAATCTCATGTCAAGTCATCTGATTGGTTGACTGAATTATCAACAGCCAATCAGATGACTTGAAAAGAGATTTAACAGGAGATTAGTTAATTTTAGCGTTGACAAGCCTTTCAGAAACCGGGTGTAAGTAAGCATTCGTATCTGAATTGAAATAGAAGGACGTTACAGGTTCAAATGAAGTATTAGAAAAATGTATTCCGTATCTATATCTATATTATAAATACGATAGTAACTCTGTCTGTCTGTCTTTTCTTCACGCCTAAACTACTGAAGCTATTTGTGTGAAATTTGGTACAGTTTGGAACTCGAGAAAGGACATAGGGTAGTTTTTATACCAAAAATCTGCAGGATAGTGACTACTATACAACGCGAACGGAGTCGCGGGCAACAGCCAATAGAAAAATAAATAATCCAAATAGTTATATTAAGATTTTTTGCGGTGTAAAAATCTTCAAATGGGAAGGGCGAGGGTCGAGAGGAGGAGGCAGACTTTAACTACGTCATTGCCTTTACTTGCAACCACTCGCAATCCCGGCTGATTTTTGCTTAACCTGCAAATCTACAAAAAAAAACTAGGAAGGGATCGTTGACAAAACACTTCTATACATTAATCTGATATTTATACTTACTTATATTTATTATAATCCATAATGACATTTATTATAATGGAATAGAGTCCAATATATATTTGAAGGTCATTATTGAATGGAATTCGCATTGAACCATTATGATTGAACTTATCATTATTAAAGTTGTGTTTTTTTTTACATCTTATCTGAAAAGATTGTTGAGTGTGGCAGAGTCACGCTATGGCACAAATTGGCCTCACAGAAAACTGGCGTGAAATAATGCTGGTGTTGTGTTTTATAGTGGGAGTGAAGTTATCAGAGGCTCAATCCTTTTCTCCCAATTTCGAATCCTTAAATCCCTATAATCCACGAATGCCCGGCAAGGCACTTAATTCTTTTGTCGTTGCAGATGTCCATGGCCAGTAAAAATGATTATATTTTACACATTACTCACAGAATGGTTCAATTTCAGTATTTAATCTAATTACGTTGTTTTATATGAAAAAAAATAATCGATGATATTTTTTTTATGTAATATGTCGGCAAACGATCAGACGGATTACCTGATGGTAAGCAATCAGCGCAGCCCATGGACACCCGCAACAGAGGAATTACGAGTGCTTGTGCTCATTTAGAGATTGAGGAGGGATTAGGGGAGGGGAAGGATTGGGCCTCCGGTAACCTCACTCACACGCGAAACGCAACGCTGTGGTTACTTCACGCCGGTTTTCTGTGAGGCCGTGGTATCACTCCGGTCGAGCCGACCCATTCGTGTCGAAGCATGGCCCTCTTACACTTAATTATGAGAAATGTCATTTGTACAAATTATGACTGATTTAAGAATGCGGTAAACGATGCTGCCAATCTTGGAAGCTTTAATATTTATTAGGATTTCGACTGATAATGCGTTGTCGAATTATCATCGCGACGACAAAAAATGATCCCACTGCATCCCATCACACGCCGACTGATTTTTTTTTCTAGGCTAATGACAATGTGTTGTTATGGTCAAAATATCAATTTAATATTTGCTATGCCATTGTTATTATGAATGTTAGGAAGTTTCGCGAATAAAACCCTAGACAACACTGGCAGGAAATATTTTAGACATTGAAATGGTCCTAAAGGTTATTGCGGAAAAGCAGGACTCGAACATCCTGAATGCATTTTTACGTGCTCAAATCTTTTTCTTTTGCAGATGTGAAGACTTTTAATAATCTTAATTATTTTGAAATTACGTATGGACATTGATCTGAAATAAAAACTATTATTTTTATTATTATTGAAGTGTTACATTATTTAATATTTGTAGATATTTTAGGCTCTATGGTGAATTAATATGAGTATTTTGTCACTGTACCAAATTGATTGATTCTTTGTTGCTCTACTTTAAGAGTATGAGCCTGATGCTAATTCATTCTTGCTTTTTTGACACGATCCTATTGAATAATATAGGATTTAAAGGGATAATTAGATAGACAATTTACAACTTCTAAACTTACTTGTTAGATTAAGATTTAGGATTATAACTTGTTTCAGATTAAATTTATTCAAAATAATTACTTACGTGAATTACTTTTTTTAATAACTCGTTGCGATTCTGTTCATGAACTAAAGTTTTGTTAGGACTTGAATGTAGTAGAACTTTTTCAGTTAATGCAGGTAAGTCGTTTTAGCAATATTTTTTGTATGATTCACGACAGTTAGGTACTATTCAAAAATGTTTCAGAGTACTTCTGAAGACCTTCATAAATTATTATAATTATTTTACCACAATGTAACCTTGTGCTGGTCATCCAAATATACTCGTACATAGTCAATTATACATATATGTGTAAACTTTTGTTTCTTACTTATTATAAACCTCCTAATATTATAGTTTGTAGGTAGAGATGGCTTTTGCGTATTTTCTGTTCTACTTAAAAACTATTGAACGGTTAATAATGAAATTTTGCATTGAAATAGATTATAATGTCAAATAACACAATGTAAAAGTTGTGCCGTTTTCTTCTTGAAATAGTATGACAGTTCAATTCATAATCAGTTCTATTTTACTTATTTATTTTGAAGAAATTCTAGAAGGAAGCTAAATGAAAATTATACGTTTGACTATTTATAATATTTGAGGATAACTTAGATGTTATAATAAAACTGCCCGATTCTGAATTTTCTTTCTTTACTAAATCAGACCACAATTTTTTTTTATGGCTAAGCGTATTCAATAGTATGTTATTTGTTGTCCAGTTACTTGGGATCAAGGCCAATTTGTTTCCCTGAAAAGCTTGTTTGGAAAATGGATCCTGTAGTTTAATTTAATTTCATACCACTAAGTTTCTTTAGAAATAGAACACGGAACTCCAATTTATAGTGCATTGCTGTAGGCCAGAATTAATTCTGTTTTTTTTTTAAACACAGAGGTTCTATATGACCTTGAACTAATGATCCAAAAACAAGCATAGCACATGTTCCAATCATTTTACCAAAATGTCATTACTTACGCAAAAAAATATATCCGTACAGATGTTTGTCAGTGGCATCATTATGAACTAGAATGAATTTTGTAACGTTCCTATCATCCGATGTGTATATATATGCAGGTTCGGTCCCCGTTTGTTACATTCGAGTGTTCACCTCCGACCTGACAATATGAAACTGGTGAGTTACGATATTACTACGAGATTCGATTCGTTAGTCGATTAATCGAGTGGGCGGGTATCGATTTGGGAATCGGTTTAGTGATGTGTTCTTGGATTTTTATATTTTTTTTAATTTCATTTATTGTGTTATAAAGTGATTTTGAGTTTTATTGCTTTTTTATAAGTGGTTAAAATATTATTTATGTGCGGCTAATAATGGTGCATTGAAAATTTTTATTATATATCATTATCGTTCGCGAAAATCTCGTTTATTTTTACGGGTTTATACAAATATTTATTAAAAATTTTAATTCGTAAAAAAACTCTAAATTTCGAATTACGGTAACGGTCACACCATTGTCTGTATTTTATAATTTTTATCAACAATTCTCCTAATAATATATAACCTTTATAGCAGGCAGCTTAAAATTAAATAACAGAAACCAATAATAAGTTATACCTGGATATTTACTTAAATATAAATTACCATGATTAAATGTGAACAAAACTATGGTCATCAATTTCTACAACATCTTGTGCAAACGATTGCACACGAATTTCGCACGGGCAGAGCTGAAAACATAATAAGTCTATTTAAAACTTTTTATTTTGCCATTCGCTTAAAAAATCAACTGCTGCTAATGGTTCAAATTTTATGATTGTTTTATCAGAAAAAAATATATTTAAAATACTCTTCAATACAAAAAAAATAAAATAAAAAAAAACATAATACAATTACAAACAAAAGAAAAAGAAACCGTTGGCTCATTCTAAAACCAAAAAGCAAATGTCAAATTTGGCGCGTAAAACAAAAAAAAAAACGAGCTATGCAAATTCGTAATTTGAACTGGGAACTGCGCTAACACTTGTTTTAGAATAGTTAGCGTTCTTGAAGTGATGTCAAAATGTAAGACAATGGTCGGAGCGATGATAATATCTGATCTATTGCATCGTTTCGCAAGATTCTCACTTGTGCAATGTTAAGTACAGTCATCTATCAAAGTTCGGGGCAAATTGCAACATGTCGTAATGGGCCCGTATCATCTTCTTTTTTCTCCTCCCAAGTAAAAAACAATATGTTGGTCAAATAAAAAAAAAGGGTTTTCATTTAATAATCCGAATGAAATGTCATTTTGACATGTTTGATATGACCAACAGGTTCAGATGTAAAAATAAATTTAATTTTGTGTTAAAAATTTTAATACTCAATGCTATAATCAAAGATAACGAAAATAAAAAAAAAATCAGAGACAAAGTTCTCTCAATAAAAATAAAAATGCGGACATGAAGGTTTCAAAAAAATGTATCTACGGAACGCTATTTCTCATAAAATTAATTCATGGCCTAAAGGCAGTTTACACTAATTACACTTATATAATTTATTCCATTGTCTTACTTATATACAATGTATTGGATATTGTTACGCGTGTTATAAAGGCAATGCAAGTAAATTAATAGGTTTGGGAAACAAGGCTAATGACATATTATTATGTAGGTCTTTTTTCTTACAATAGACCACTTGTTTTCTGATTAAATTTCTTGTTATGGGTAAATAGATAATTATAATGCAAGATTAATTAAAGAACCATGTTATTATTACAAAAAAACATGAGCATTATTACTAATAAGCTATTGTACAACAATGGATTAATAAATAGAATAGAATGTCATTTAGGTAAGTATTCCTTGTTGAAAAGCAACAACCGATATTTCAATTTTACTGTACATGGCTGTTCAAATGTAATGATACTATAGATCAATACTTATAAGAATAAAATTGTTGTATGAAACGCCTGATGATAACAATGGGCCACTTTCCGACAATTACGACAACCTACCGATCATCAACATTATCATAATTACTGATGAAAAGTACATAAGGATCTATCCAACTTTAAGATCACCAAGAATATCCTCATTATAATATTTAACAATACTCTTCTCACCCTCAGATCCTGATCTCCGCTCTCTTCGGCTTCGCCGCCGCGGCGTACGCCCCGCCAGCCTACCCTGAGCAGTCCAACCGCCCCCAAGCTTCCTTCGAGAAGAATGCCAGAATCATCGCTCTGGACTCTGACGTGAAGGAAGATTCCTTCAGATACAACTACGAAACTGAGAATGGAATCAAGGCTGAGGAACAGGGTCGTGAGGTAAGTGGAACATCAGATACAAATATGTGCCTTTAAGCTACATACTCCAAAATACTTACTGGGTCAAGTTAATTACTTTTAGGATAGTCCATTTTAAAATGAGATTTCACTTCCAGAGTTAAGTAATAGCTTTAAATTTAGCAGATTTAAAAAAAAAAATAGCACAACTGGATGATGTGAGAGTACATTATTATAAAAATCATTGTGAAGTTAGAAGGGTAACATTAACATCTTTAAAAAAAAAACGTTGCCCCACACTAATATTTTCTCCTGTGTCGTGGGTGCGTTAACAAACATACAATTTCACATGCACATCACACCCAGACCCGGAACAACAATCTGTGGATCACACAAAGAGTTGTTCCGTGCGGGAATCGAACCCGCGACACGTTGCACGGCAGCCAGTTGCCCAGCCACTGTGCCAACCGTGCAGTCAATTATTAAAAGTGAAGATAAGTCAACGTGTAACAGCATTTCATACCTTGAAAGAAAATTACACAAAATAAGTATAAATTGCTAAAGTAATGGCTAGGCTAGACTAGGCTGGTGATAAAAACCTAATGTTATTAGCACAAAAGTGAATGTTAGTCATCCTTTCAATTTTATATATAGTTACAACACTTAATTTACCATGGGTGGTCTAATATGAACTTGCTATGGACTTAATGAAATAAATTAGCAACATGAAGATTTGATTGCTTAAGGCGTTATGACGGTTAAACAATGACGGAGTTTCGTGCTCGTTGTTCTCAATTCAAATTTAAATTTCAGAACAAGCACCTAGTTCTGTTCTTATCTGAAGAACAGATACAGAACAGACTGACGGACTGTTATTCTAGTTTGATATTCGAAAAACACTTCAATATTTTTTCACTTTCGAAATCTTTCAAATGTTTTTAATCGAAACAAATATTACTTGACAAGAATATTTATATTTTCAAACAAATGTTTATGAGATTGCGTGTCATAAATTCTTTACGATAGTTGAGAAAATACTTAAGATTTTTCACCTCATCTCCTATACAAAACAAAACAGCAATCCGCGTTTATGTGTGTTTGAAACTACGAAACAGCTTGGCGGTTTGTCATACGGTTTTCACACCTTTCCAATAATTTTTCTCATGATTTGTGGCTTGCGGTTTGAAGACCACAATCGTCTAATTATAACTAGATAATTCAATATTTTTTAAAGTGAAAAGAGTTAATAAAATAAAGCGTAGAATTATAAAACACGGTGACGGAAATAGTAATGATTATATGGTGAATGAAGAAATATATACACAGAGAAATACAAATGGATTAACTAGATTGACAAACGAACAAACGGACCTAATAACTTTGAAACCGCAGGTATTTGCATAATACTGACCTTTCGCCGGCCATTGCCCTTTAGACCAGCCTCTTAGACTCATATGGGCGAGCCATTCGGAAAAAGATTACTAGGTCATCTGCTGCTGATAAATCATTCTAAAATGCCCGAAGTTCTGGGAAGTGACGTGCTAATTTATAATCTAAATAACTAATGTTAAGGTCGTGATTTAATTTAATTTTATCTATCTACATATAGTCCAATACTAATTTCGTATAGTTCTTATAATAAAATAAATTAAAATTCGAAATTATCAATAACCAAATATAAATATTTTAAACCCAATAAAGATTTAATTGATAAGGATTTCGTAATCACATAAGTAGGTAATAATTGTGCTCACTATTCAAACATTAAATCTAGAAACATGCTTTAGAACATACATAGAATCAATTTGAACTTTAACTGTTACAAGATAAAACTAATTTTGGTCTATGAAGACTTCTATGATAAACGAAACTATTAACTAAGTACGCCTACTTATGTATATATGACTAATATGTTGAGTCTGTAGGCAGTTATTACATAAAAATGAAAGTAAATACTTCAGCTTGTATGAGTCAATCACCCATAATATTATTTCATTATAAATATATTTATTATCATCACTGTCAAGTTTATTAAAATTTAATACTTGTACTTTCAACACGTTCAAGTGCCGTTTCAGAATGGTAATGACAGCATAGCTAGATACGACACTTCAACATGGCATTCCTTTTTCAAACTGGAAAATAAAAAAAAAGTAATGAACAGAGGGCTACAATATCACCAGCTAAATACTTTTTACTGACAGTGAAGAAAAGCTGTATTTTCTTCCCCTCTTTAGAGTATTATTTGTAAGCCTTATTTTGAACTTCGAATTATTATATTAAAGATTTTAATTATAAAAAAAGAATGAAATATTTTTATAACATAACTTTAGAATTAAAAATGTACTTACTGATCTAGTTTTTGTGTAAACAGTAAACACATGAACGAAAAAAAGTAAAAAAAGAAAGGTATATTTCTTGTACTTTAAACTTGAAAGTTTTATTAGTTTCCGGTTGGAAAGCTAGTTAGTTATACTAGTTGAAAGCAAGATGACATAAAGAGTTCTTTATATGCGAACATGAAAATAACTGCATCATTGCATTTTCATAATATTATTATTACCGTCTTAAGTATTTCTAAGATGCTTACTAAGATTTTCTTGCAAACACTTCGATAACATTTATTCAGTAATAAATTGACGTCTCATGTTTAAGCCTCTGATTCAAATGTATACAGAAGAAAAGTTTTTCATAGTTTTTCATTCCGAAGAACTCAAGAGACTTTTAAGTGAACCACTAACAAATACTATCTATTAAAACGAATTTGAAATATTTTTTGTTTCATAAACTACATCTTGAACAGTACTCGAGCAGAAGTTCATATCAATTTGTCAAATTAAAACAAACGATTGTAAGGTCAAAAATTTGACCTTCCAGAAATACCACAAAATGCCAGGGTCATTACTTAATAGCAAATTGTAATTCATTCTATTAACCTCGTTACTCGAATAACGTAATGGTATAATTTACTGGGCATCCATTATTGCAATGTAATAATGACATTTAGATAATCATGATTAAGAACATCCATCTTGTAAGATCAATGTTAAATGTGATGTAGATAATCGGTTAGTTTATTGCAATATTACATTTTTTTATGTGATCGTACTGCAGACATGTACTCTGTTTTCCTGATGGTAAACCATCGGCACCGTCTATAGACACTCACAACATAAAATGATTCCTGACCTAGACCTGTTGGGGATTAGGGATAAGGAGATTTAAGAATTTAACAATCAAGATGAATCCATTTTTCTCGAGAAAGGCAAAAATGTTCAACACATGACCTTAATGATAAATGGCTTTTTGTTCTATCATTTATACTTTTAAATCTTACAATGATCTTGGTTTTGAACTGATTGGGACTTTGAATATTTACATTTGTACTTAACCTGATAATATTACTATAAAATAAGCATCAATTTGTTAAAGTTTCTTGGTCTTTAAGGCGAACAATAGATTCAGTAATCCACATAGATTCTATAATTCTACTTACATTGACGGTCACAGATGGTGATGATCCTTATAGCCCTAAAAAGATCGTCCTACTTAACAACCACCCTTAATTTTTTCAGGCTGACGGTATCGAGGCTCAGGGTGGCTTCCAGTACACTGGGGATGATGGCCAAGTCTACTCCATCAGCTACGCTGCCGGTCAGGGCGGTTTCCAACCCCAGGGTGCCCACATCCCCACTCCTCCTCCAGTACCTGAAGAGATCCTGAAGGCTCTAGAGCAGAACGCCCGTGATGAGGCTGCTGGCATCATTGATGATGGTAAGTTCCACTTTTTTGAAGAGGCTACCATTTACTAGAAAAGAAAAAAAGCTAAGTTCAAAAGGATCAAAATGGCTGTTTTAAAAACGAATGCTTCAAATCAGAAGATCCAACTGCTGATAAAGTCAGAGTTAGAAGTACGGATCAATTTTTAAAACACAATAATATGTTGTTTTCATTAAATCCTCACTTAGGAACACAGAAGCATAGATTGGATAAAACCCAGAGAACAATAGCCAAAACTTTACCCTTTACAATTTGCCATGAAAATATGATAACAGTAACTACAATCTTCGCCATCAAGAGTACTCATCCAACAGATGTGATATCCCACAAAGCTGCTCTTGACAACTTAATTCCACCTTACGAAATGCAACAATGAATTTTGTAATAATTCTCTAACTAGCAAATTGTTTTAGAAGGCACTCAGACACACAGACTAATGGCGGCTATTAGTCCTATGATAGTGCGCTGTATCTGTGGGAAATGTCACTCAATTACAGTACATTGGGTGGTGTGTTAAATGTCTTTACAAACACGTTGTACGATGTAATTGTAGCTGATTTATTTGTAACTACAGATAATATGGTCTTCGTTGATTTGTGTCTAATACTCATTTCAAACGTAGACGCTAAAATTTATTGTTTGCATGGTAAAGGATAAAGGAAACTCAACACGTCAGGTTGAGTTTGATATCACTTTATTAGGTTATTTAAGACAAGGTTATTGTGCCGTGGTGGCCCGAAACCTGACAAGTACCAATGTGACTTTTTCCGAGTTATAAGTACTTTCTATGATTATTTAGGCACCACTGGTATACGGTGAAGGAAAACATCGTGAGGAAACCTGGACAATCCACATTGAGCTAGCGTAGCGATCAATTAAACATTCTCCGTGTGAGAAGAGGCATTTGCTAAACAATGGGCACTTATAGGCATATGATGTGTTATGAGGTTAAAATTCGATATCCTGGTATTCTGTCGGCAATGGAGTCTTAATAAAATAAATCTTAATATAATCAGAATAAGATACCAAATCAATTATTCATAAATAATATAAAGGCCTAATAAAATAGGCTCTTATCGATACTCATAATGCAATAACAAATTCACCTGTAAGCACTTGCACTAGTACACTGACCTTTCAAATATTACTCAATGACCCCTTACTATGACCATCTGCATTTACTTCACCTTAACACCTAATCATAAGACATAAAGTCCAATTTCCCTTAACAACCGTACTTTAATACAATTCTTCGTCTGAACAATTTTAAATTATAGTAGTGTTAGGTCTTATATCTTACAGTACAAGGTTTAGTTTAGCTTGAATTGTTGTTTTATTAAAGTTGTTATCGATAATCTACGGGAACATAAGTTCGTTGAGGATAATAGCTACTGTGTTACTGAACAATAGGTCAGTGCAGTGAAGGGATTGTCTCACGGAGATTTTAAGGTCATGTACACTTGAGCTGATTCGCGACGGACGGTCGGCGCCTTTGAAATTCGCGAGTTGTAGTCGAGTTGCGTTTTGTAGGCGGATGTGTTGAAACAGTTAAACAATGTGATATTTTCGCTTAAATTTTATTTGAAATTAAACTAAATTATGTTTACAGTAATAAATGATTATAGTCCAAGAGTTGTTAAAAACAAAACTATGAACTTAATTGTACCTAAGCTTATCTATTTTTCGAAAATAATGCTCTTATACGCAATGACCAACAAATTTGATTCATAATAATATAAACCTTTGAAATTCTTTTCTTCATTTCTTTTTCTTCGCAGTATATTAATATGCATGTATGCAATCTCTTCAATTAATCCTAAACCTTTTTCTTTATTAACTTTAACTCAAATGTCAACTTAACTATTGCTAATTCCAAGAGAATGTTCGGCACATTTATTTGGCAAGGCAGTGATGTTATATTGCCTTGTTGCAATCTTTTAACATTTACGAAGCTAGTAATCGATCAAATGAACGAAAGCTTTGAACTTAAGTTTACTACACTCATAATGTTTAAATATATTATTTGAGACTTATCAACATGTTTTACTTTTATTGAGAAATGTGGTTTAAAATACTTTGTTAGGTAATTTTTAATGAAATTATAATTGTAACTTACTTCATGATTATTCTGTTAAATAGTTTCGAACTGTTTAGCTCATTATTCAGGACGACAAAATATGTTAAATATTTTTTTAGTAATTTGTTTAAGAGTTATCTTCATTTGTATTTTTTTAATTTCCAGGTCAATACAACCCCGGCAAATACGGTGACGCTGCCAGCGCTGGTGCCGCCTATCAACAGCCCCAGTTCGCGAGAGCACAGGCTGGATACAGACAAACTTACAAATACTAAACACGACCATAACATATCAGTATTTAGCTATATTACATTTTATAAAAACAAAAAAATATAAGTAGAGCAATTTTCGTGTCATTTGCGTTAAACGCACACTTGAAACACAACGACCTAATTGGTGTTCGCATTTCAAAAAAGTGAAGGTCAAACGAGCACACTTGTAACGCAGTGTTGTAATTCGAAGATGGAACACGTGCAAATTGCGATGACACGAAATATGCTCCACTTCATTTTCATGAGGCTTTTCTGTAAGTAAATTTTGTGAATATTTTTAATTGTGATATTTGAATTAAAATGTTTTTTTTTTACATTATATTAAGCTTTGTACTTTTCGTTGAACAAAATATGCTTACAGATTCTTTAAAATTTAAATGGATATCAGTTAAAATCGAATATGATAATAGGAAAGTGTCGTAGTGTGTGTAATCTGATATAGTCATAATGATTACCTGACCGACTTGTGAGTTGTGAAGGATGCGACTTATTTATTCTATGAATAAAACTTAAACTTTTTTTCTATAATTAACTGTCTTGTTTCCGTTGAAATAAAACCCTTAACCTTATTTATGACTTTCGAGTCAAAGTTAAAATAAGTGAAAAAAAGATTAAGAAAATCCCAAACGATCCAATTAAAACAAGCTTTATAGTTGGCGACGTTAATTTATTGCCATTGAAAGAAATAATCAATATTTAACTTAAAAAAATATCAGTCACACAATGATTGTTTACATACCTAATGTAAAAAATTAATAAAAAAATCAAATCAAAAAAATTTTTTGACAAAAGATGGCAGTATGCCCAAATATGCCAAACAAGTTGCCAACTCAGTTGAGCTGAACGTATTTAGCGCCCAACACTGATATTACATAGTTAACACACCTACGCAAGGACAAATCAACGTAAGATCATCAAGTGACATACAAGAACCTTCAATACTATTTAAATAGGTTGGCAAACGAGCAGACGGGTTACCTGATGGTAAGCAATCAGCGCTACCCCTGGGCCTCCGGAGGAGTTTCGAGTGCGTTGCTAACCTTTTTTATTAGGGATTTAGAGATCCCTTAGATTTGGAGATTAAGGAATTAGAGGAGGGGAAAGATTGGGCTTCTGGTAAACTCACTTACATGGCGAAACACAACGATGTGGTTGTTTTGCGACGATTTTCTGTTAGGCCGTGGTATCTATCACTCAGGTCAAGCTGAAATATTAACCGCTTATGACTCTCCCACTAAATAGAACTAAATTTAACAGAATATTTTGAATTCTGTTAACGATGCATTGTTACTTATGTATAATATTTGCAACGCGTATAAAGTCAATTTCGTCATTAGTATTAATATTTTCTTTAAAGTCAATTTAGTATTTAAATTCTGTAGTCGCCAGTTCAATATGCCGAAAATATAAATATAATAAAGAGCTTAACAGCTAAAAATTATAATTTTTGCACCGATTATATGCGATAACTCTCACAAACTGTGCCATATTTTACGCGGTTTTCTTTCAAAAATGTAAAGGGTAAATAAAGGAGCTATCTCTGTTTACTGTCGGTGATAAGCTTCTCCGCGACATTGCCTTCCATATTCAACTCTGTAAACAATCTGCCACTGCCTATTTTATTATTATTGGCCTATACAGCTAGATGCAGTCTCCATTTCAACCGTCTACTGCAAATGAGGAGTACCATCCTTAAAACTTGCTCATATTGTTGTACTATTTAAAATTAAAAATTTTGTTGCCGCTTTTTTAGAAGAAAAATCATCTTATCCTGTGCGGGGCGAGATCGTAAGGAAGACTCTCAAAGTCAAAGTCAAAATTAATAATTCCAACGAAATTCATATTTATTTTGAACATAAATGACTTACCAAAATGTATTAAACAACCAGTAACATTGTTTGCAGACGATAGCACCATAACAATACCTTGTGAAAATATATGACGGCGCGTCGATTATTTAAATTGAATTTTGAAGGAGGTTTTATTACAATTTATCGGACGAGGGTGCAATGAATTGTACTCTGGCGGAACGTCAAACTGACAGTTCTCCGTGCGCATTATGGTGGAGAGCCAGCGCTGTGACTGTCATTGGAGACGGATCGCCGACGTCCGTTATTTTTGTAATTTATTCGGTCTGATTATAAAATCCTACGCCCTGCGATGGCCAACCCCCTGAAAGCTGTACATTTCAGACAGCGTACTCCTAGCATTGATAATAACATTCAGCACGGTACTAATATAATAGAAGAAGTAAATACTAAATTCGTGGGACTCATAAAAGATCAAAACCTAAATTGGGAATCGCACATTGACTCTAATTTATGTAAAAAAAAAAATAGTAAGTCCGCATACGCTTTGCACACACTATCATCAGTAGTATATATAGGTATAGATGCGCTTCTCACGGCTTATTATGGCCTAGTGGAATCGCACCTACGGTACCGTATTATTTTTTGGGGTAACTCTTCGGGAACAGAAACAGCATTTAAAGCACAAAAAAGATGTAGGTATAAGAGCTATCTTTAAACTGCAAACCACCGATAGTTGCCATATTTCAAAAAACATACTTAACATTTTACCCGTACCCTGCCTGTACATACTAGAAGTAGCGTTGTCAAATCAAATCCGAATAAAATTCAACTCCTTTCTGATAACTTCCCACGGTATAAGCGCAACAATAGTTTACTGTGTACCAAGATGCCTGTTATTATTATAACTATTTATTTAATTTGTTAATTATTTTTCGAATAAATTTATCTCTATCTCTATCTCTATCTCTATCTCTATCTCTATCTCTATCTCTGTCTCTGTCTCTGTCTCTGTCTCTGTCTCTGTCTCTGTCTCTGTCTCTGTCTCTGTCTCTGTCTCTGTCTCTGTCTCTATCTCTATCTCTATCTCTATCTCTATCTCTATCTCTATCTCTATCTCTATCTCTATCTCTATCTCTATCTCTATCTCTATCTCTATCTCTATCTCTATCTCTATCTCTATCTCTATCTCTATCTCTATCTCTATCTCTATCTCTATCTCTATCTCTATCTCTATCTCTATCTCTATCTCTATCTCTATCTCTATCTCTATCTCTATCTCTATCTCTATCTCTATCTCTATCTCTATCTCTATCTCTATCTCTATCTCTATCTCTATCTCTATCTCTATATCTATCTCTATCTCTATCTCTATCCCTATCTCTATCGCTATCTCTATGTACAGATAGCTTTATCTCGTAAACAGTAAAAATAGAAAACAGTCTGTCAGTCAGTTTGTTACTGAGGCTAAGTTGGGTGCGCGCTCCAAAGCGTAGATTCGAATGGAAAAGAATGAGCAAGAATCTCATTCGCTCTTATATAATAATACGTATTTATGAATAACACATCACCCGAGTTCTATTATTCTTTTTCTGGTCTGGTATTCAACTCTTGGCACAACCACTAATCATTATGTTATGTTGTTCAAAACTCCTACAAAATTGTACTGTAAAATGCGAGACATTAAAAACAATTATACATTCAGTCAACAAAGTATCGGGAATGAATGTTTTTTTATGGTTCCAAATTCGAATTTTTTTTTTTTTGTTGTTGTTAGATTGGCATAACTGTTTTCCATTTTGGCGCGGAGTTTGAGTTGCATCTGTTATTTATATTAAAAACAGTGCTATTTTTAGTTTTATAATATCTAGTGTGTATTGCGAATTTCATAATGGACAAAAATATCGAACAAAGAGTTTGTCTTAAATTTTGCATCGCCAATGAAATTTCGTGTTCGGAGGCACTCAAAATGTTACAGAAGGCTTACGGTGAATCGACTTTATCAAAAACACGTGCTTATGAGTGGTACAAAGCGTTCAAAAGCGGTCGAGATGTGATGGAAGATTTGCCTCGTTCTGGTAGGCCATCAACGTCTGCAACTGAAGTTAACATCGCAAAAGTGAAGGAAATAGTGACTGAAAATCCTCATTCAAGTTTGAGAGAGATGGCCGCCGAACTTTCTGTATTTCACAAGTCGATCCGTACCATTTTAACAAATAATTTGGGTACGAAACGTGTTGCCGCTCGGCTAGTCCCAAAAGACCTGAATTTTCTTCAAAAACTAAATCGCATGAAAGTCGCTGAGGACATGCTAGAACGAGTCAATAGCGACCCCACATTCATGAAACGCATTGTTACTGGTGACGAGACGTAGGTTTACGAGTTTGACATGCAAACTAGTCAACAAGCTTCGGAATGGTGCCTTCCAACTGAACCAAAACCGAAAAAACCACGTCAAAGTCGATCAAAAGTCAAAGACATGTTGACTGTTTTCTTTGACTATCGCGGTGTTATGCACTCAGAATTCTTGCCCGAAGGTCAAACGGTAAATAAAGCTTTATAAATATTTGAGCGTTATGCGGCGTTTAAGAGAACAAATTCGACGAAAAAGGCCAGAAATGTGGAAAGAAAATTCTTGGATTTTGCATAACTATAATGCGCCTTCGCACAAGGCCATCATTGTAAACGATTTTTTGTCCAAACACTCAACAAACACCATCGAGCAGCCACCATATTCACCAGATATGGCTCCAGCCGACTTCTTTCTTTTTCCCACACTCAAATTACCCCTTCGTGGCACCCGTTTTCAATCGTTAGAAGACATAAAGGAGAAGTCGCGGCGAGCACTAAACTCAATTCCGGAAACAGCGTATAAAAAAGTTTCGATGATTGGATTATTCGTTGGCGTAAGTGTATCGTTTCTGAAGGAGCATACTTTGAAGGTGATAAAATAAATTTAGATGAATAACAAACATTTTGTGTATTATTGACTTTTTCCCGGTACTTTCTTGATAGAGTAGTATTTAGAAGATTTTGAAAGAGGTAGCACAAAAATTGAGCTATTTCTACAACCTATGTGAGCATGCGTAACCTTGACATGACGGATTAAATCTGCAATCTAAGAAATATTATACATAATCATCTCATTTCTTTTTATACTTACAAGTATTTTAGTTGCACAGTGAACTGCGACACGTAGCATAGGCTACTGTAAAATAAGGCACAGGTTTAGGCTCAGATAGATAGTTCAAGAATGTGGTATTTTTGATAACTTTGTGTCCGCAAATGGTGGAGAAAGTCTAAATGAAGAGCAAATTTCAATAAACTAAAGTTATATTGAAATGGCTATGGAAGAAAACGGACTGATTATTATAATAAAATATAATATCCTGTTATTAGACATCTATTAAAATGAACATGAATCAATCATTTTTTCGACT